TATATATATATATATATTGGTGATCATTTACACAGTTTAAACTATTGGTTTTTAATCTTGAATCTTTGACTTTTCCTACAGATAAGTCAATCACTGCAACACAACAGCAGCATGGATGAGATAGGAACAAATATTACAAGGAGATCTTTGCTTTAATATTTATCATAGACTTAGATGTGTATTTCATTTTACTGGCACAAAGATTTCCTCTATGAAATAAAGATGTATCCACTCACTGCCCCTGTGCTTGGACTTTCAAGTGTATCGAATATACGCCAACACAAAATGTATACAAAAGCAATCACTGAAAGACAAGAGAGTGACTATACATTACCACTGAAGCAGTTGCAGATATCTTCATGATTCACATAGGTCAGAGTTGATCTGAGTTAAGGTTCAACTTGAAATATAGAGCTAGTTTGACATTGAGAATTGATGCAAGACAGACATTCATTATAGTAATAAATAAATATGCTTTTGCCAAAGAAAATACAGCATTATTATCATAATGGAATAAACCACATTAAATCTGCTCACAACAACGCAACGTCTCATGTTGAGTAAAACTTTATCTGTTAAATAAAAACCTAGCACGATTTACTTTGCTTTTGAAAACAGAAGTACAGTATGTAAAAGGAAGTAATGTTTAAAAAGTCATAAAAGAATATTTGTTGCATTCTTCTGTTGTGTTCCTGATGCTCTGTTGGACCCAGAGTCTCTGTTGGTCCAACATATTTTCCTTCCGCTCCAAGTCCTGCAGCTCAGCCTTTAACTCTGTCAGTCTGTTGGTTAATTTGTGTGCATTTTCTCCTGGTCTCGGGCCCCTTATTTAGGAAAAGCATATATATATATACTGCAAAACAGAATTAAGTACTATACTCTGACACACATGCATATCCAAATGCATGCACACAAGGCAGGGTTAAAACTTACACCCACTTAACAAGGTTCTTATATATTTTCACAATCAGACCAATGCCCTCCAGCACATTTGTGATGTCATAGATTCGCCTTCTCTGTCTGACAGCCAGGACCCTGACAGCCTGAAAGAACACATACACACATATAAAGTTATCCACCACAGCCTCCTTAGGCTCATCCTCTGAAAATACCAGTTTCACAAATATCTTTGCAATATATAATCTAAGTGTCTCAGGGATTAGTTCGCTAAGTGTACTGAAACATTTACAGATCACTTACTGACCATATTAATTGTTAAAATCCCCCTTTGTTGTTTGTTTAAGAGAGATACACTTACAATTTTGACAACATCAAGCATTTGTTCCTAAAACAGTTACATCTTTATGAAATCCAATTTTTACACTTTCATTTGCAGCATTAAGTATTATAGAGCCACACATTTCAAACAAAGCTTCCAAATGTAAGATTTATATGCAAGTTGAGATGACTGATTTTTTAGGCCTGCAAATAGTGATTATTTTCATCAATTAATTTATCCAGCCAGCTGTTGAAAAGCCAGTGATATATTGTTTACACAGATACAAAATTTAAAACAAACAAAACACACACACACACACGTTTGAAAAACTGTAATCCAACCACATTTTTGTTTGGAAAAACTACTGAAACAGTTAATCAATAGTCAGAAAAGTTTCATAATATGTGTTTAGTCAAATGATTAATTGATTAATCTATGTTGTAGCCTAGTAGTTATTTTTATGAGTGCGTTGTTGTGGCCTGGGACTGAAAACCCAGTGTTACACACATCCAGTGACAGACTCAGTGTTGATGTACTGTGTGTTTGACTGGTCTCAGCTCACTTACATCTTTGAGGTCCAGCACACCGTCTTCAGCTTCTTGCAGTAATCTAACAAACTTCATGGTCAGCAAATTTAGACTCCTCAAATTCCTCTTGTATTTGGGGTACTGGGCTGGTGTTGCGGTCTGGTGATCCAGACTCTGTGGACCAACTTCAAGATCCATGCTGCTGGACATGAAAGGGAAACAAAATAAGACAGGAGCCTCCCTGCACTGCTTGAATCGCCTGCGTGGGGCCGCTTCACAAAACCGGAAAAATTCATTTGAAATAAAATCCTGTCAGCGTTTTGTGCACTGTTTTGTAGTTGTATGTGCATACGAGTACATATTGTGAAAATAAAACATTTAGGAAGACAACACTGTTCTGTACTAGATGTCTCTACCTTCATCTTTTTTTTTTTTTTTTTTTTTTTTTTTTTTTTTGCTGAGGCTTTTTTTATTGCGAAAAGATTGTACCGGAAACAATAACATTTTGCACAACTTTTCACTCGTAAATAGCTAGTATTAATATCAAGTGTTTGTTTATTGTATGACTTTCGGTTGTTCGACATAGCGCTTCTACCTACACAATACCATACTGTTTACATGAAATCATGAGTGAGTGTGAAAATCACAAATATCTTTACCTCGATGTATTCGGAACCAGCGGCAGAGTTGCTTGCGACGACGCTAAGTCAACGCTAGCAGTCCTGACGACGACAACCAACAATATGTTACCTTGCAATGCAGATTTTGGCGAACAGGTAAATTTGTCCACAGGTTAATATCAATGTTAAGCCAGTGCTTAAGGTAACACCACTGTACTAACTCTATAGATGGTCCAACCACATTATGGAGTTAGGCGCGTATTTTTTCCGGTAGCCGTATACACGTGCTTTCACAATAAAAGTCCAAACGTTCGACAGACTACAATAAAATCCTTTCTCACTAAAACAGTACACAATTTTAATGACATCCTAAAAGACATGCAAGCTTAAAATACCAACCTTTCTAAAAATGGTAGGCTACACGTGTACTGGGAGCTTGATAATCTTTAAAAATATAAACCACAATTGTGAAATAATGATAAACTATCACGGGAATATTGCTTTTAGGTGTAAGGCCATGTTCAGACTGAGTTTCAAAGGTGTGAAAAAATGCAGCTCTCCCCATTCATTTCTACAGGGATTGCTTTCATACGCAGCCCGCAGAGAGCTCCAGCAAAATGAGATAACACTGTGTGGCTTAAAAAGGTGGATCTGGTTCAACCTTCACCGCGATGGACCGCGATATGAATGTTAAACTTGGTGCTAAGGTAGAGTAGTGTGTTCTCTGACTAGTTGTTAATAAATAAATAAATGTCTGTTTAATTATAATATACGATAATTTAAATTTGAATAGCCACACATAGCTTTAATAGCAGGTTACACAAACAAGACCTGTAATATAATCTCCGCTGTTGCATGACGTTCACATACATGGAAATTAAATTTCTCAGCAGCATGGTCAGAGACAGGGATTGACAGGCTGGACTTAATGTTGGAAGGTTTCAAATGCCCTAATATCGATTTATTTGTCACTGTAAGCCTATTCCTTTGTATAATTTACTATTATCTTATTTTGTTGACTTTGTGCTACATTATTGACTGTGTGTGGATGTTCAGTTTTTAAAAAATCTTAGTTCATGTGTTATTTATAGCTCAGTAAACCTTCCTGAAACAAATCACATCTGCGTAAAATCACGCGCATGTCACGTGGCCCTTAGCGGGAGTCACATGATGTAGTGGTTCGTTTTGTTCAGGCGGATCTGTTGTTGAAGACGTCGAAAGAAGTTGCTTTTTGAAGAGAACCCTTATCTGGCTACCAAAGTGAGCAGAGGAGCCGTATTGTACGTGTTTTTCGGCTAGAAGTGAGTGAAGTTCAGCGATGTTTGCCGTGGGTTTGCTGGTGTGTTTGCTGTCCGTGTTTCCTTTCAGCTGCCGGGCTCAGTATGCTCCTGATGAGGTGACCCACCTGCCAGGCATGATGTTCAAACCCAACTTTCGACAGTGGTCAGGGTACCTCCAGGCCCAACCGGGGAAGTTTCTTCATTACTGGTAAGAAACTGGGGTGGGACAGGTATTTACTTCCTTTACTTGACTGAGAATACCAGTACTATAAGTAAAATGTGTCATTAGATCTAAGAGTCCTTTTGCTCTACTCGAGTTAAAGCACCTAAATATTATCAATAGAATATTTACAGTAGTCTATCAGTAATTAAAGTACTCATTATGTAGTAAAATGTGCCCTTTGATAATGCAGGACTGCAGTAATGGTTTTAATCTGCAGTTATTTGGTAAATAAAATGACAAAAAAAGGAAAAACAAATGCCATCATGACTGTTTTCTCCCAATTTTTAACATGTGCAGTTGGTGTCCATCCAATGTGACCTCTCAGTCTGTGTATAGTTTTTGTGTGTGTGTGTGTGTGTGTGTGTGTGTGAGCAGTGTTTGCCAAATAGACGGAAATATTCTCTTTTGGGTTGTGTGTCAGCCAGTGGCATGGGAAACTAAATATCTTTTTTATTGGCCAAGTATGTTACACACCAACCGCTGTACCTCTTGAACCACAGCCACCCCAACAAGTCAAGAATGTAAAACTGGAAAGATGCTCTAGCTTCTACAACAGGTCAACGATCCAAAGAAAACCTCAAAATCCACCATTAACTACTGCAAGAAACACAAGCTGTAGCTTTAGGAACAGGCCTTACAGTCTTCTGACATGAACATCTTTACAAATCTTAAACAGACTGTACATGTAAGACAGCCTGAAATATTTCAACAGTTGAAGTCATCTGTGGGAAGAGTGAGTGAAAAATTATGAATTAAGAATAGAAAGAATCTTATCTGCTTCAAAAATGATCTGGCAGAGTGATATGGTGATACTAAATACTTTTTAGAGTGACCAAACTTTTGCACATGCTGTGATTGCTGCTTATTTTTTCTGTCCCTTTTTTTTAAAGCTAAATAAATAAAAAGTAACAGTGCATTAACATTTGAAGACATTCAATTTTTTTTGTAATGCCTGTAGGCTGCTGAGGTTGTATTTTCACTTTGAAACTCAAATATTTTGTTTTCCAAGAGCAGTCAAATATTTGCATACAACTTATCTTTCTGTATTTTTTTTTAACCATAGCTCTGACTTCCTGCAGGTTTGTGACGTCTCAGAGGGACCCAGTCAAAGATCCACTGGTGCTCTGGCTGAACGGAGGCCCGGGCTGCAGCTCACTCGTTGGATTGCTGACAGAGAACGGACCTTTCCAAGTGAGCATTGTCACTGTGTGCATAACTATATCTGTGAACTGAATTAAAGTGACTCTGTATAGTAATTGTTGACTTCTGTAGTGACAAAACATAATGCATAGATGAGAAATGAACAAGAGTCCCAATTGCCTGTCATGGATTTATTAAGCATGCCATAAATTAAGCTGAATGGTCATCACCAAAGGATACAGTGAAATGACAAAGAGTGAAAAATACACACTCCTTTTATAATCACAGCAAATAATGCATGGAAAGAAATGGCATCAGTGTTTGGGGACAAACTCACATGGTAAGGGATAAAAATTTCCTGCTAGATGAGATCACTGTCTAGACAGATAAGCAGTCATGCAAAATGTTTCACCCTGAGTGTGAAACGTCAAGATCCTGTTATTGAATCAGTTCTAGGATTCTGACCTTTAAGGCATTCCTTAATGCATCACAAATGGCACCCCACCCTGTAGCTGTACGAAGGCAAAATATAATCAAAAGAAAAATTAAGTATACTGGTTTGCTGATTTAGCTAAATGTAATAATCCTGAAAAAAGAACTATTAAACCTAGAACTTCCATTTTCAGGTGAATAATGATGGGACCATGCTGTATGAGAACACGTTCAGCTGGAACAAGATTGCCAATATGCTGTATCTAGAATCTCCTGCAGGAGTGGGATATTCCTACTCTGATGACCGTAAATATGCAACCGATGATGACCAGGTGAGTTCAGTCTGTTGAATGAATAATAGGTTTCACAGAGCAAAGAGTAGCTTAAAAACAGCCAGGGACATTTTATGAAACCATTTTTTTCTTCTCTTAGGTAGCTGAAGATAATTATAGAGCATTGCAGAGCTTCTTTGTCAAGTTCCCAAATTTCACTCAGAATGAGTTCTTCATCTTTGGAGAAAGTTATGGTGGAATTTATGCACCAACCCTCAGCCTGCGTGTGGCTACAGGAACTACCAAAATCACCTTCAAGGTGAGGCGCTTCATGCAAACATCTGCTTCAGTCTCATGTTTTCCCTGTTATTCAGCCCTTCAGCCAAGCATACCTTCTGACAGGTGTTTAAACACCCTAACATTTTCCCTTGTTGTCAGGGCTTTGCAGTGGGAAATGGCTATAGCAGCGAGGTAGTCCATATACAAAGTTTGGTCTACTTTGCTTACTACCACGGCCTCTTGGGAGAACAGTAAGTAGCACTTGACAGAGGAAGCTTGTTTGCGTTATTGTCATCGGTGAATTATTTTTTTTTTTTTTCTGCTTGTTTTTGTTCTTAGCACTTTTAGACCTTGATACCGATTCTCTTTTCTTGTCTATTTTGTTCTTATATATTTTTGTCTGTTCTTAGCATTTGTAGATTGTATACACCGATCAGCCATAACATTATGACCACCTGCCTAGTACTCTGTACATAGGGATCAATGCAGCAGTTGCTTGTGGTTATACCGTTTGAAAGAGCACAAATTTGTCTATCATTTAGTGAATAAAAATATGTTAAAGCAGTGAAAACTGTGGTCATATCACCACTATAGCCAGTGAATGTTTCTCTTCATAGAGATGTGCAGCGTTTCTCATTTTCAGACATTTTAAAAAGTTTCAAACAAATTTTAATCTTTTGAAAACTACAAATGAAATTTAAAATTTCAATATACAGTAGATAAGGCTTAGTGTCAGTGAGCCTTGGGCGTCCATGACCATGTCACTGGTTCACCAGTTGTCCTTCCTTGGACCACTGTTGGTAGGTACTAACCACAGGTTTCTTTGTTGTTTGGTTCTCTCTTATGATGTTCTGGTGAAGAAAACCACGCTGTGTTTTGTGTGTTTTCCTCCTGTAATGCAGTTAGGGATGTTAATGATTATTTGATTATAGATTAATCGCCATTAATAATTGAATCAGATCAGTATACAGATATGAAAGGATTAATGACCACCAAAGGATTAGTTACACACAATTGATGCAGAGATTGTCATTCAAAGCTGTGTTTTCTGTCCAGGTTGTGGACTGATCTGAACATACATTGCTGTGACAAGTGGGACTGTAACTTTTACAACTCCAGTTCAGAAATCTGTGCGGAGATGGTATGTGTGCACTATGTCTGCAGTATTCAGCTGGGCATTACTGTGTGACTCTTTAAATGTTTGCTTCATCCTTGTCTCACTTCAGGTGCATGCAGTCATAAACATTGTGTATGAAATTGGGCTTAATATGTATTCCCTTTACCTGGATTGTGAGGGTCTAAAAACATCCCTCCAAGGCTACGAGAGGATCATGAGTCTTCTGTTTAAGAAGAACTACAGGAAACACCCACACATCCATAAGGTGAGTGCTTCCTTCTCTGCACAAGTGCTGCTTGTACATGCATCTGTGCTTCAGACTTTTTGGTGTTGTCATGTTAATGATAAAAATCTTTTAAGTTTTCAGATCCAAAGAGTTCCTTTGCTTCGGTGGGTTCAGTCCCTTCCTGCCTGAACGATACGGCTGTGATAACCTGGCTGAACAGAGGTGATGTGAGGAAGGCTTTACACATTCCAGATGCACTGCCGCCATGGAACGTCTGCAGGTATATTACAGTAAATGAATGTATGTGAATCGGTGATTAAGATATTACTGATCATCATACTAAATCCATCAACATTTTCCTGTGGGTATTTGTCTGATGAAGGACCTGTTGCTGGTTGAATTGTCACTAATGAAATTAAAGGGAACTGTGATTCCAGTGTGATCACAATATTGCAGCAGCTCTCACCGCACCAACTGACACACAAGCAATTCATTTACATGTACAAAAATACTAAACATTTTAGTGTAAAGATTAAAAGGGTAGAAAAGCTAATTGTGTACAGTGGCTTCAGAAAGTATTCAGACCCCTTCACAAGCAGAAGGGGTTGGTTTAAATCACGATGGTGAGTTTGGTTGGAGGTCAGTGACATGTTAATCCTGATGACAATGGCCTCTTCATTCTTCACTGCAGTGATGAAGTTGGCAACCTATACAACAACACTTACGAGACGATGAAGGAGGTGTATCAGAAGCTTCTCTCTCTGGGCCTGCGGGTGCTTGTCTACAACGGAGACACCGACATGGTCTGCAACTTTCTGGGAGGCCAGTGGTTTGTGGATGATCTCGGTCTGAAGGTAGAAACTTTAATTTTAGGAAGGATTATAAAACTATGTACAGTACCAGTCAGATGTTTGGACACGCCTTCTCATTCATGGTTTCTTATTTCTGCATCGTATATTAAAACTGCTGATATCAAGACAATTAAATAACACATAAGGGAAAAGTGTTGAAGCAAAAAAAGTTTAGTTTCTCTCACCTGGAAAGCTCTTCCAACAGCCTTGAAGGAGTTCTTATACAGGTGCTGGTCATATAATTAGAATATCATCAAAAAGTTGATTTATTTCACTAATTCCATTCAAAAAGTGAAACTTGTATATTATATTCATTCATTACACACAGACTGATATATTTCAAGTGTTTATTTCTTTTAATTGTGATGATTATAACTGACAACCAATGAAAACCCCAAATTCGGTATCTCAGAAAATTAGAATATTACTGAATACCAATACAAAGAAAGGATTTTTAGAAATCTTGGCCAACTGAAAAGTATGAACATGAAAAGTATGAGCATGTACAGCACTCAATACTTAGTTGGGGCTCCTTTTGCCTGAATTACTGCAGCAATGCGGCGTGGCATGGAGTCGATCAGTCTGTGGCACTGCTCAGGTGTTACGAGAGCCCAGGTTGCTCTGATAGTGGCCTTCAGCTCTTCTGCATTGTTGGGTCTAGCATATCACATCTTCCTCTTCACAATACCACATAGAAAATCTATGGGGTTAAGGTCAGGCGAGTTTGCTGGCCAATTAAGAACAGGGATACCATGGTCCTTAAACCAGGTACTGATAGCTTTGGCACTGTGTGCAGGTGCCAAGTCCTGTTGGAAAATGAAATCTGCATCTCCATAAAGTAGGTCAGCAGCAGGAAGCATGAAGTGCTCTAAAACTTCCTGGTATACAGCTGCATTGACCTTGGACCTCAGAAAACACAGTGGCCCAACACCAGCAGATGACATGGCACCCCAAACCATCACTGACTGTGGAAACTTCACACTGGACCTCAAGCAATGTGGATTCTGTGCCTCTCCTCTCTTCCTCCAGACTCTGGGACCCCGATTTCCAAAGGTAATGCAAAATTTACTTTCATCAGAGAACATGACTTTGGACCACTCAGCAGCAGTCCAGTCCTTTTTGTCTTTAGCCCAGGTGAGACGCTTCTGACGCTGTCCGTTGTTCAAGAGTGGCTTGACACAAGGAATGCGACAGCTGAAACCCATGTCTTTCATACGTCTGTGCGTAGTGGTTCTTGACGCACTGACTCCAGCTGCAGTCCACTCTTTGTGAATCTCCCCCACATTTTTGAATGGGTTTTGTTTCACAGTCCTCTCCAGGGTGCGGTTATCCCGATTGCTTGTACACTTTTTTCTACCACATCTTTTCCTTCCCTTCGCCTCTCTATTAATGTGCTTGGACACAGAGCTCTGTGAACAGCCAGCCTCTTCTGCAATGACCTTTTGTGTCTTGCCCTCCTTGTGCAAGGTGTCAATGGTGGTCTTTTGGACAACTGTCAGGTCAGCAGTCTTCCCCATGATTGTGTAGCCTACAGAACTAGACTGAGACACCATTTAAAGGCCTTTGCAGGTGTTTTGAGTCAAATAGCTGATTAGAGTGTGGCACCGGGTGTCTTCAATACTGAACCTTTTCACAATATTCTAATTTTCTGAGATACCGAATTTGGGGTTTTCATTGGTTGTCAGTTATAATCATCAAAATTAAAAGAAATAAACATTTGAAATATATCAATCTGTGTGTAATGAATGGATATAATATACAAGTTTCACTTTTTGAATGGAATTAGTGAAATAAATCAACTTTTTGATGATATTCTAATTATATGACCAGCACCTGTATATGCTAAGCACTTGTTGGCTGTTCTTCCTTCACGCTGCGGTCCAACTCATCCCAAACCATCTTCACTGGGTTTAGGTCTGGTGATTGTGGAGACCAGGTCATCTGATGCAGAACTCCATCCCTCTCCTTCTTGGTCAAATAGCTCTTGCACTGCTACTGAAAAACAAATGACAGTCCCATTAAAAGGAAATCGGATTGGATGGCGTATTGCTGGAGAAAGTTGTGGTAGCCCTGATGGTTAGGTGTGCCTTTGGTTATGAATAAATTGTCAGCAGTATCACAAGCAAAGCCCCCTACACACCACACCTCCCCCATGCTTCATGTGGGTACCACACATGCAGATACCATCCATTCACCTTCTGCTCAGTCTCACAAAGACGGATCGGCTGAAAACCTTAGTTTGACTCACCAACCAAAGTACAGATTTCCACTGGTCTAATGTCTGTTCTGTGTGTTTCTTGGCCCATACACTTATTGGTCTCCCTCTGTAGTAGTTTCACTGGAGCACATCAACCATGAAGAACTGATTCACGTAGTCTCCTCCATGTCTGCTACTTAAACTCTAGGAGACATTGAAGTGGGCTCTGAGGTGCTGTTAATGGAGATTTCTGAGGCTGGTAACTCTAACAAACTTATTCTTTGCAGCAGAGGAAGCTCTTGGTTGTCTTCTCCTGGGACAGTCCTCATGAGAGCCAGTCTCATCATGATGTTTGATGGTTTTTACCTGAAGAAACTGAAATATTGCCACAATCACAGTTGTGGTCGAATAGGGGTGCTTGCTGTACAGCAGCACTACCTCAGCACAACACAACGGATGGTCTCAGACACATTAAGAAGGCAGGAAATTCTACCAAAAAACACCTGTTAATTCAAACTCATTACTGCTGAGTACCTCTTGAAGCTGGTGAAGGTGTTCCAATAATGTGAAAGCTGTCATCAAGGCAGTGGCTATTTTAAAGAATATAAAATATTTATTATTATTTCATAGTTTTGATGTCTTTATTAATCTACAATGTAGAAAGTAATAGAAGCAAACAAAAAAAAACAATGAAAATGTGTTCAGAGTTTTGACTGGTAATGTAGGTTTTCTTCCCCAGAGTAAAACCTTATACACTTATTAATACTGCTAATAAATGTCATTATCAGGCAACCACCGAGTATCAGCACTGGCTTCATGAAAAACAGGTAGCTGGTTTCTACCAACAGTTTGGAAACCTCACTTTCCTGACAATCAAGGTAAGCACGACTGTGTTGTTTAGTGTCTACCACCGCAGCATGGTTATCCTGCTTCAGGATGATGATGTAATATCCTTGCTGTAAACCACCACTGTGGTCTGTGTTTTAGGGCACCGGTCACATGGTTCCTCAGTGGGCTCCAGGTCAAGCTTTTCACATGTTCCAGTCTTTCCTAATAAAAGGCCCCTACTGAGCCACGACAAAGACTGCTGTATGTAATAATCCTGTACTCCTCACTTGCTAGACCGTACATTTAACTCAGGGAAGATCTGTTTAGTGGAAAAAGGGACTGTTGGGGCACTCATTCTTTGTATCATTCATGCAGTATTTGCAGTGTAAATTTTTTTGGATAATGACACTTTTGGTATTGGTTCTGCTCTGCATCACATTCATTTTTTTCTGTAACAATTCAAGTGAATTATAGCCCTATTTGTACACGGTCCATTCACTTTAGAGGACCAAAGTTAACTAGACAATTTAACAAACTTGAATAATATTCAAATCAACATTTGGCTATTAATCTTGTTTTAAACACCAGTCTGCTCTTGAGCAAATGTTTTGTTTGCTATGTTGGATTGAGGTTACTTGACTGATTTGGCCAGACAAGTGTCCAACTACTTGTTGGCATTGTCTATTTAAAGTCCCCGTGGTATGCTCATTTCCAGCCATTTGATGTTTAATCTTGGGTACCTCTAGATTAGCTTTGCACCCATCACAACTCCAGTCTAAAAATTTCAGAAAGATAAAACCCGAGAGCCTCTTCCTAATAATGAGAGGATAGTTCATGAACGTGCACAACTCCTGCTGCCGGTGTTGTGTCAATTTGTTTCCCCAAACCTGAATCCTAACATTATCTTAACCACATCCACTGAGGGGGTCGCAACATGAAACCAAGTTTTGAACAGGGGAAACGCAGCTCGACAGGGGAACACTTTTCAACACAAGACCGGTCAGGAAGCCAGGACAACGCATAAACAAAAACCATTGACTAATAAGCTATGTGACGACAATGACAATATCCCAAATCATACCTGACATGTTCAAGCCAGAATATGAAATTGAACAGCACAACAAACTGCAACAGCATTAATTAATTTGAATTTCTCCTCCATAGATGGGTAAACAACGGTATATATACCGATGAAAAGAGATGTGTAACACTCTAAACAAAGCAGGTAATTGAGAAACCCCATATTTTAACTGGCATAATTCAGACATGGTAACTTCTCCAGCCTTACAATTCTCTCTAACTTTATAGAAACAAGGCATTAACGTGTTTTTTTGTTTGTTTTTTTTACTTAAGTCCCACCGGGTAGTGGAAACATCACTCCCTTTCAAGTAGCTCCAAGCTCAGTAAATCCAACTGGTGGCCGCTGCGTCTTCCCCCACACAACCACATACAGTCCCATTGCTTCCGCATAGAAATACTAGAACATACGTACACCTCATTTTTTGAGCTTTAGGTCACGCCTAAGATGATAATTCACAGTTGTAACATTGTAGATAAGTCAAAAACAAGTAAAAGCATGCCATGGGCTCTTTAAGGCTCTAACATTGGGGACAGATGTGTAAAAGGGCTACATATTCTACATGGTTCCTTCACTGTGAATATGAAAACCTTCTGAAAGCCAGTGCGTTGACTTGTTTCATTACAAATCCAGTGTAGCAAATGCAAAGCCAGAATAGAAAACAGTCTTGAATCCTGCACTTTACATGATGAGATGAAACTGTTCTCTCTAGCACTGATGGAATACAAAATGATTTTTCTCGTAGGGTCATTGACATTGTGAGCAAAATTTAAGTGAACTCAGTTATGACTGATCTATGATATAAATTCATACGGTTGTTCTGAATGTACTTTTGATGATCAAACTGCCTTAATGAAAAATGCAACTGCACTTGTCATGTCTTTTATTGTTTTAACTGCCAGTGACACAGTGTCAGATTTATTCACATGCCTCGACTGTGCTAAACTTAGCAGAACATCATAGATATGTCCCTAAATTATTTCCGTTAAAATTTGCTGCCAGCGTCTCTTTTGAAACAACAGATTAGCAGATGCTATGTGGGTGTAATGTGTGTACAGTACATCCTTTCAGCCTGGAAACAGTAAACCAGTGACAGAAATCATAAGTGCACTCATAATCAGACACAGTCTGTAGCACCAGAATGGTAAGGAAAAAAATGGGCACAAATGGTACAACACACAACCATAAAAAGAGTTTGTATTCAGAGAAATGCTAAAATAAGAGTCACATGCTCTATAAATTGTTTTTGGACTGGCCACAGACAGAAATACTGTCTCAACTGCAGCTTCCCCCACCCACTCAAAATTGTATTCTGTCAATTTTAGTCCACCAATGTGACAAATACGTACCACCTTATACTTTGTAAAGGGGATTCTGTTTTTAGAACAGCAAAGTTTTGGATCTCAAGTACTGATCATACCAGACTTGGCAGGCACAAAGTTTCTTTTTACCTGTGATACACTGATTGAATACATTTAAAAACCAGGGATTAAGACTTAGTCCACTGAGTTTGTGTAGCTCAGTGTGTCACTGTAAACATTAGAATATGTTCCTGATTTTAAATACACCACAGCTGTATTTGCAGCTTGGCTGAAAATGAATTTCATGACTTAAAGTTTATCTTGTAATCAAACTCTGATATCTGTGTTCCAACCATCTATCAGTGTTAAGCAGATAAATTAGAGTGTTGACACGTATTGGAGCATAAATAGAAAACTTATGCTTTAGTTTTAGGCAGATTATTTGTAATTTATTGTTGCGCTTGAGGCAAAGTGGTGTCTACTGGTTTCAAGTAAATCCAACCTCGCTAAGACAAACTCTATAATAAATTACGTGCAAACTGGATTGTTTACGTTACAGTATGTGTTGTTTTTTTTTAATATACATTCAAAGATATCATTTTTAAATCCAATCTGAAGAACCTGTGTTTTTTGCTAATTTTGTACACCCTGCAGATCTGTGCACAGCCTTTGGGGAGACCCTGTGGTTTTCAGCCTCTTGGCCACTTGATTGTTTTACACACTAAAGTAGACCCCTTTTAAAGCTCTATAGTCTTACACAAGTTTATCTTTGTAGCTTTAACTTCTGCAAACTTAGAATAAATAACTTAAAATCATTGCCAATTTGTAAATATCATAGTGCTTCTTACTTTACAAATTATGTAAGTAATTTTAAGTCCTGACTTCCTACATATATTTTAAAACATGATACAGTTGGTTTGCCTTTAAGGTGCTGAGTGGAGGTGGAAAAAAGAAATCCAGTCAGACTTGAACAGCCAGCGCTGCAGTTAACACGCCACTCATTAATGACTCTGTCCTAGTGTGCGCACGAACCTGTCACTCAGTCCAATTTTCTTTTGGAGAAGAGACAAAATTCTTAATTAGTGGGCAAACTATAAGCAGCGCCAACACAAATCTGGACCTGGAAACCACAGCATGCCAATGATTAGAAACACATGCAACTTAAAACTAATTAGTAACTTCATAAAAAAAAAAAAAGATTTCAATGTAAGACCTTTCTATACAAGGTCCTTATGCCCTTGTAAACAGGCCAGAGTACCCATAGAGGGTCAACTCTTGGCCCCTCTGGAATGACTACACTGTCAAAAACTGCTTTCACTGCAAGTTAAAACATAATAAAAATCATACAACATGCACTTTAAACTGTACAGAAAATAAAAAGGCAAAGTGTCTGAAGTCACTTCGCACTGTGTGCCATCTTCAACTACTCCCCGACTAAGCAGAGAGCGCTGGAGTTTTAACTCAGTACGTAACAGGGATGTGACGGGCTGCAGAGCTGTTGATTTGAGTATTTTAAACAAGTGTCATGAGATGCTTCTCCATCTTATCCCGTAGATCAGAATAGCAGCAAAGGACTAAGAGCCCCCTCTGTCTTCAGTAAGGGCCACCACTGGCTCCCATAAAAAAAAAAAGAAAAAAAAAAAGAAATGAGTTCCTTTTAGCTGACAATATCTTGATAGATGGAGTTGGTTGTGGTGAGGCCAAAGATGAAAGCTCCGATTGTAACCATGGCAACACCGAAGATCACCAGTCCATGCCAGCTGTAAAAGAGAGGACCAAGGATGTAAGTGAACTACTTGAACATACATTTAACATTTTATATGCTGACACTGAAACAGATGACTAATGTGAAAGGGTCACTTATGGTGTAAAATAGTAAAGCATTTAGTCTTAGACAAACAAGCTTCATTAACCTTGTGTAAGACAGAAGAACAATAACAACAAGTACTGTAACGTAGGCTGAATGAAGAAGGAAGCCAGAGACAGAATTTGCCTTTATGTGCACAGCGCTGTGACCCATACATCGCATGATCCCACAGCGCTGCCTGTTTATTAACACACACACACACACACCTATTTACAGTACATGATGGCCGAAGCCCATCAGTCCCACCAGAACCCTCAGTCATGGTGTCTCGGCCTAGATTTACTCTAACAGAATGTCTCGGCTGCAGCTTTTTACACTTGCTGGCACATCTGAAAATAAGCAGTATCTCACCTTGCAGATCGGCTGTCTGTCTCTGATAGTTTGACTTGCATCAAACACAAACCTGTTAAGTTGGAGACATCGCATGAAGACATTAGAATGTGACATTTAAATTTGGCTTGTACAGAAACACAAAATAACACACAATGAGGGCAATGCTACCTGGGAAGACAAAGATAAAGCAGGCTGCCAACCCTCCAACAAGTGAGATCACCCGACCAATATCAGGGATGAACAGTGCGAGGACGAGTGTGACCGCACACCACACCAGGGTCTGCAGGATCCTCCTCCTCTGCTCACGGCGTACACACACCTCTACCTGCTCACCTCGGAAACGCAGCCAAAGTCCTTCTATGACTGCCCTGGAAAGACACATGATGCACCCTACTCACACAATTCAATACCAATAAATATCTACATCTCACTGTATATGAATGAACTGAATAATTTGTTTATGTGGGAGGTAACATGAGGCTGCAAATGCAGTTTCTGAACTGCAGGAGATGTTCAAACATCATTCTTTTTAGGCTTGTGCAATTTAGATTCTTCAGTCAGTAAACCTTAACTTAAACCATAATTAAATGTGGATAGGTCACATCTCATATGATTATTGGTGCATTTGTTTCCAGTAAGTGATAAGAAATGAGAGAACAGAAAATATGCTGAAGCCAATTTAGAATCAGAGTCTCCCTTAGTTTGTCTGCCAGCTTTCTTTTTTCAGCTTTAACTTTCCACAATCACCACATATCTTAGTTGCAGTTACATTTTTAGAGCCCTGTTCTTGTAAAACAAATGACTACAAGTTGATATAATCTGTGGGATTTTTAAAAAAGAAAAAATATCTGTCAGCTTAAAAAATCCAGTTAGCGGGCAAAAAAAGAAGAAAAGGCATTTTTGCAGGATCTTACCTGCCACAGAAATGTAAAATGGGGTAGGAGGTGATCACACAGATGACAATGAAAGCTCTTGCGATGGCCACAGCAATATCGTTAGGAGGATACGACATCAACACATCCTGATCGACATTGGAGCCAAATGTCAGGAAGCCACAGACACCTGGTCAAACACAATTGCAACAAGGATTTAAAATTTTGACAGCTAGTCACAAGCCTGATCTGCAGCAGCGCCACACGTTACGTGTAATTTGCCTTCAGTATGATGTAAAGTGCATCTGAACACTAAAGGGGTTTTTCCATTACAAGAACCTATGGAAACATGTTGCACCAAGTAACACTCATCACAGGTTCTGCATGTGTTTCCAATTGGAGGTGCATTCTGGGAGCTAAATTTCAGCACCCTTCAGGAGGTATTACTAAAATCACGTACTGGGATCATGAGTGGGGAGGGGTTTGTGCAGTCATCTGTGCCTTACAAGCCAACACAGCTGACTTTGTGTGAGAGAGCAGCAGCCAGGTGATGGTTAAGGGCAGTACAGGGTATAGAGCTCATTAGGTTCCGATTATGGAAAAACAGCAAAAGATCCATTACATATTAATAATTAGGAACGACTCATTTGATCCAGAGTCAAGAGAACCAAAAAAGTGGAGAAATGATCTGGTGTCTGATACAGGGATGTTTCTTTGTATCAGACATCTTATCATGACTATATAATATTAAATAAAAACAAAACACCTATAAGCACACTTTAGTCCTTACAAAGAGTCCTAAATTTATTCATAAGTCAATTCATGTAATACTTAACAGGTTATCAGGTACATTACTGAGAGTAAACTGAGTATGCAACTGCACACATTGACGATACCTGTTCCTGTATAAACAAAGAGGCAGATTATCATGCTGAGTGTGACAACAAGTCCCCAGGGTTTGATCTCCCTCCTGCTCATGCTGTTGAACACTGGCACACAGCTGACATGGCACTGTAGAGAGAGAGCAGGAGGAAGCAGATAAGATGAAAAGAATTCATTAATATTAAACTCAAGTCATAAGAAAGCAGTTTTATTTTATGACCTCAAATGAGGAAATACCTGGAAACCAAAGCATATTGTGGGCATTGCATTGAAAACTGCAGTCCAGGAAGCAGAGCTGTAACAAACACAGTTATTTAGCAACTCAAGCAAAGCAACATGACAAGGATGTTATTGCTTAGATGAGTTGGTGGACAATGCAAAGCTTTTGAAAAGCTGCAAGGAAATAAGGGCAGTGTCATCAAGTGTGTGCAAGGCTCACCTGGTGGCAATATAGCCCGGAGACACCTCTTTATCTGGCCAGATGTACTTTACAATGATCACGACGGTAACATACCAGGTTCCCATCACACTCAGTGCACTACAATGAAGAAGAACATCAACTCCGACATGATCACCATGCAAGGTAAAAGTTAAGAAAACGCTAACAGGTTGTAATCCTCAGTGAGGAACGTCGGCTGAGTGAGCTGACTGAGTGACAGAGTTATGTACCTCGCATACTTCTGGAAGCCAATCTCTTTGGGGATGGAGAGAGGAAGAATAACGAGCACTGCAGTAACGGTGATGGTAAATTTGCGGTCGGTGTACCAGTAGCCATTGACTGAACCATCTGTGTGGTGAGCCACTGCTTCTATCACTGCAACAGCAAAAGAGGAATTACAACCTTTCAGAGGGACAGACAGGCAGAGAGGGAGGCAGTAAAATGTTTGCCAGAGAAGGGTAGAGAGCTACAACTGTCTATACATGGTAGAGATTTTGTCAAGTAGATAATTCAAGCCACAACCACTCCATTCATTCATGTCAAAGCACCAAAAACAGAAACAGGCAGGAGTAGGATTTCTACACTGTCAGCGTCTCGTGCAGTGCAAGAGCGAGTCACATGAGTGAGACATTTACTGAGCAAAAATGCTGAGCGGTGTCCTCCTTGATGGTCTTTGCCCTCATTATTGGTACAGTGTGACAACACAAATCACAGCTACATATTTGGAAAAGACAAATGGCTTTTTTTGTTTTTACTGCATCAGTGTGAATATACTTACAGCGATCCAGCTGGTCTCCAATGACAATAAAGAAAGCGATGCAAGTGCCAAAGGTGTAGACAGCAATGGCGACTTCACAGAGGACTCCTGTGACTTTCCCACAACTGGCTCGAACAACCTCCTGATAGGAGCTTTCATTGCTGACCTGGGGAACCCAGACAGATGATAAGTAGACATGCTATTTAGTTAATGTGATTTAAGATTTAGCAATGCAGGTGTAACACAGCATGAGTAAAGTTTAAATCAACAGTCCAGATCTGCTATCACACACGTTACCAAGCATAAGAAAAGAATCAAATTTACTCTTGAATTTGTCCTGTGACAATTTCCTTTCACCTGAAATTTACAGCAGGTTAAAGCAGACTTTTTTGTATACCATGAACACACTGCAGTTCTGTAGCCATTCCTCAAGTTATAAAGGGTCGCTTGTGCAGTGGATAGCATCCAAACAGGAAGCAAACTAGCAGCAGGAGCCTGACTGCTGACCGTGATCATCTTCACTTTAAGCCATGGTTATAAAGAAACTTTTACAACTGCAGGATGAGTCAGCCAGTCATACACATAAAGTCAGAACAAATATCATTTAAAAAATGACTCTCCTTTTAAAGTCAGAACAAATATCATTTAAAAATTGACTCTCCTTTGTGTGGTGTGTTTAAGCACAAGTCTGAGCCATTCAGGAAGTAAAAAGTGTGAGAATACAACCACAGAATGAAAACATTATTACACAGGAACACCGTTCCACTAAACAGTCAGATTAAAAAGGCTGCAGCAGATGATGGAGAAGAAGAAACAAAATCTTTCAGCAAGTCAGAGTGTGATGGTCCTGAAGTGATACAAACCTGAGAGCAGTAGCCCAGAATCACCAGTCCACTTATAATGAAGATTAGCATGAACTGAAACACAAAGAAAGAGGAACTGAAACACAAAGAAAGAGGAACCATCACATTATACTTCCCTATCATATTGTCTATAAGCAGTTTTGTGTAGAAGCAAACGTAGAACTGAGCAGAAAAGTTTCTGCCAAGGTGAGAAAAGCTTAATGTGAGAGATTTGTTTGCGTCAGTGCTCTACTCCCTGGTCAGATGTGAGAGGCAACCTCTCGCAGAAATGTGGTGACACGAAACATCTGTGCACCTGTTAGGAACTGATGACAGTTGTGGGTTTCTTTGCTTATGTCAACAAGAAACTGTCAATCAAATCTGATCTAACCAGACAGTCCTGATACACAATATGCTGCAATTTTCACTCTAAAACTAATTATATTATGAATTTTACTTCCCCAAAACTTTAACTTGTTGCTTATTTAGTCATGAATATTTACATTTTTAAAAGCATTCATGTAAACAATTTCTTGTTTCTTTCTGTAAATCTGAATATTTTTTGTCTTGGCTTCTGGTCACAGTTGAGCAATTTTTAAGATATCACCTTGGATCATTTCTGACCACCCTCATCATCATTCTTGCTGTTCTACACACCCAGAGATGAATAGATTTACTTTAATCAGATTAAGTGAAATTGAATATTAAGGGGGTGCAGGTCAATTTATCACATTACACCAAAGGCAGTTAGTCCTGAACACCTGCCTCATTCAGTGGGAGCCTGTATAAAAGGTTTTTTTCTTTGCTGCGATCTCCTCACCATCTGAAGCATCACTCCAGCAGTTATTCCTCCTGCCATATTGAATGCTGCGGGGAAATTAAGTAGACCTGCTCCCAGTGCTGCATTCACCACGATGAACACTGCCCCCATAGATGACATGCCTCTCCTGTCTGCCTCCAGCTGCCGAACAGAATCCACGCTGGGACTCTGCAAGAGCCATGCCCTCTCTCCAGAGTCACTACTGTCGACTCCACCCCAGTCTTCAACATCAGCGTTAATCGCCATGAGTCAACAGGCTGTAGCTTTATGCAGCCATGAAAATTAGTGCCCAACCATCTGGATCCATGGGGAGGGATGTAGATCAGAAAATCTGAATGAAGAGACAAGAAATCTTTAGTTCCACAAGAGTTATTACAGGTGACAGTGTGGAGCTTTTCAGGGATGAACCTGTTAAACAGTGAATTTAGAGGCGCTTGCATTATAAAATTGTGAAGAGTGAAGTATAGAGTGAAGTAGACTAGATAACGAACTGCAAGTGAAAATCGGGGGAGCGAATATAGAACGAGTATATGAAATTATATTTCTAGGTGTTATAGTTGATGATAAATTCACCTGGAAATCTCATATCAGATATATTCAGCACAAAATAGCAAAAAACATATTGATATTGGCAAGGGTTAGATATATGTTGGACAGGAAAGCACTACGCATTTTGTATTCTTCACTGATTTTACCATACTTAGAGTATGGCGTTGAAAACTGGGGAAACGCATACAAAAGCTCACTTCAACCATTGTATATATTACAAAAAAGAG